GGGCCGTATGCGAGTGCACACTACACGTTCTTACGTGCCGACCTTACTTCGCGGCCGCAGCCGTAATGTTTATCCGTGTGTATTACGTTTTCTTTTATTATTTATCTACCTGTATGCACTACTAATTAACACTTAAATAGCTATATTTACTCCCTCGAATACCAAACACGTTGTTCATCTGCAAAGCGATGTCACTTGTAATTTGAAATGTACCTGGTAAATAATAATTTACATAATCAACTGATTTACGTGTGAGTTTTAATTGTTTCACTATCTTAATTATACAATACCTACAGTAATAAGGTCACGATCGTTTCATTGTTGCGTTTTTATTAAACAAAACAATCGGCTTCATCTGAGCCATGAAAACATCCGCCAGCAGGGTTTAAACATAAAAGCACTCACTAATCTAGCATTAACCGACGAAGGTCGGAGCACATCAATATTTATTAACTATGTAGGCCGTATGTAACTCGTCCAGTGCCACTCCGCCGCGTGACCTAAAAAAAGCAAACGTCAAATTTCGTTTGCGCGCGAAAAAAAATTAAAAATGAAATATGGCGTTGGTCGCATCGCGGTAAGTCCATTGCGCAAATGTGCGAGTGTAAAGAGTTTTGCTCGGTGTATTATTTATTGATTGTTGAAAAACAATGGCGGGCGCTCGGCTCGGCAGTGAGTCAGTGGGTCAAGGGTGCCCTGGCCTAGTTGCGCAGTCCCGCGCGCCGAAATTCGCGGGCTTACTAGTTGCTAACCTCACTTAAGTAGAGAGGAGCACTGCTCGAACGTTTTTTACTTTTTCATATTGCCACACCTTAGAATGTTACTTTTTCTTGTGATTTCTTAATTGTCTTAATAGCGATAATGTTTGATGATAAAACCTTAAAACTAATATCTATATAGTTGTAACTCAATATAACCTTCAAATAAAATTTTGGATTTTTTATCATATGCCACCATTCATACGGTAAACAGAGCAATGTAATAAATACTGTAAATCAAAATTCTTAAATATACGTTGAATATTACGTTATCTTTTATTTGCGATATTCAGTACCTACTTAAACTTTAAATGCAAAATTTCTAACTTTACACAATCTATTTCAAAAACTTACTATATAAAAAACTTTAAAAACGTTCAACGGATATATTTAAATAGTATATTGTTTCATTGATGATGTTCAATCTGAAGACAAATCTACGCTCTTATCACTCACTCACTTCACTGTTCCTTTGTTTACGTGGCCTAATTTAAAAAAAGAACTAAATATAGATCCAGTTCAGCAATACGTAACTCTATAACATTACGCTACGCTGATGTAGCGTGCATCTTATTACTATGGTACGAAATTTTAAAATTTAAAGTCTCATCTCCTTGTGGCAACACATCACTAGTTGGGCCAAGCGCGGCATTGGGCCGGCTTACGTAATCCAAGTTTAAGGTCGCCTAGAATCGAACGGTCACTTGACGGTGAACGTGAGGTACCCACTGCATTTGGGACTGCAGTGCCGCCCCATGCCATATCGGCTGCTACCGAGGTCGAAATTGGCCTGCCATCATCCAAATTTACGTCCACATTAGCTTACGTCAACTTAAGTACTGCCGCTTGCTTCTCAATAGCAACAGTTGAACTATTTATTTATTTTTAAGGCTAGTTTTAATATAATAATTCTTTTGTGTTGAGATAATAAACCATCATCATCTTTTTTTTATATTTTCAACCACGCAACAAGTCGGTTTAATTTGACCGTGTCTAGTAATGTCTATACAGCATAAATTAAAATAATATAATAATGTGCCAGAAAATCATACTAATTACTAAGTCTCAAAGTATAAAATTTCATGATATCTCCGAATCACTGTCCAGAACGCCTTGAAACAATTTAGAAAAGCTAGTTTCCCAGCTTGGTCGTATCATGAATCGAACCCGGGATTTCCTCACTTCGCGCCCACAATGCTAGCCGCCGAGCCACCGAAGTCATATAAATAAATTAAGGACAACAACTATCAAGTCTCGTTTTCAAAATATCTCTTCGTGGCTGCCGCTTTGAATAGTTAACATTGTATTATACACTTATAAATTAGCATTGAAGAATTTTGCAGGTGCTATAAAGACTACATAAGGGCAAAGACGACCCAGTATCTTCCACTAAAGAAGCCTTTGGGGACCAGTAACATTATTGTTCAGAAACATAGCATTTTGTGTAAAATAGAAATCGAGTGAATGATGCATTGTCTGAAATGACCTTTGGCAGCGTTGCGTCAAGTATATGGACAACTAAGAGTATACCTTGATTTAAAAACTTTACCTAATGCTGTTAAATAGGACCCTTCATGTATAGAAGTCATTATAATGGTCACTCTACTTTTAAGACCTTTTATTTCCTAAATACTTACTAAAGGTATAGAATAAATATAGACTAATTGTTACCCTAAGTTATAAAGATGTAGCTAGAATGCACTTTGAATCACTGTGATCTGCCTTGCGGCGTACAAATGTACTTTATTAACGGTATAAACTATTTTTTTCTTCTTACAAAGCTGTGATATTTTTTTATATAGACTCACGTGCACTTAATTTTAAAAGAAAGACAGATAAAGAAAGGCATTTATTCCCAAAATGAACTACAGCGCAGTTAATACTCCTTTTATGATGTACAACACAAATAAACACAAGACTTAGTAATAAATAATTAGATTAAGTAACAAAAATGGTATAATAAAGTGTGCGCCGTGCTATTACGGAATCACCCACTCAGTTTATTGTCGCCTCACGTATTCTAGAACTCTACTTAATGCTCAAGTCAGGATTTGAGTATGGTTTAAAGCACTCGAAATCATACTCAAGTCCCTCCCATTAGGATCGTATTTCCAGTGCTTGAAATCATACTCTGATCCTGACTTGAGTATTAAGTAGAGTTCTAGAATACGACCCTGAAAGTGCTACGGAGTTGATTTTCAGCACCCACGCTGCACGGGACACAGCAAACGTATTTTACTAAATATTGATTGATTTAAAATTAATTACATAAAATTAAGAATGTATGTCTTATTTACTTCTATAAAAAGTGGAAAAAGTATTGCATGCAATTATGTAATATTTTTAATTTTAGTTTTTCTACGAGTAAATTAAAAAAAGAAACACAACCAATATTTAAACTATTTTATTTATGAAACGTATATGTAAATTTATATTGGTTTGTTACTTTTTGCCAAACAGTTACGCCTTGGTACCTGTTATATAACATTTTGAAATATTGTTAAAAAAATAAATTATTTTAATAATTTCACAAATATGGTGGCGTTATTCCGTTCAGGGACATAGTCTAATTTGTGGACATAAGAGACTTCAGTTTAGTAGCGACCACAGATAATACAATTTTGGTTCAACTAAAAACAACGCCTTCGTGATATGGTTTAAGAAATTTTAATTGACAGCCTCCGTGGCCGAACGGGTGCCATCCAGGACTGCGACGCAGAGGTCCCAGGTTTGATTCCCGGGCCGGGAGAAATATTTGCATGGCCTACATTTATTTCTCTCGTGAGTGGATGTAATTTGTGGTTGTCCATAAATAAATAATAAATAAATAACGCACACACTCAGCATAGCCCCGCACTAGGGAAACCCTGTGTCGCGGGTGCCATGGACACACATATAGACAACCACAAATTACACCCAACCTCACGAGAGAAATAATTGTATGCCATACAAATATTTCTCCCGGCCCGGGAATCGAACCTGGAACCTCTGCGTGGCAGTCCAGCATGGTAACCGTTCGGCCACAGAGGCAGTTAAAGCAGTCTATGAGTGTGCCCATGGCACCCGCGACACAGGGTTTCCCTAGTGCGGGGTTATGTTGAGTGTATGCGTTAATTTTAATTGAAATATAAAATTTTATAAGATCTCAATTATTGTAATGCCTTAGAAATCAAAATTCTTACAATAAACGTTACAGAAAATTTTCTAAAACGATTCCCTGAAACGTACCTAGGCTTAAGCATAAAAAATTCTAAATCAATAACAAAGAAACTTAATAAACCAAGTGTTTTGTTTTCTGTAAACTTTTTACTGGCGATATCAGTAAACTCGTCCACCTTGCCACTCTTTTAAATTCAAATATATTATATGTCAAATACAGAGACCTCCAAACATTTTATGTGTCTCTTACATAACAGCACAAGTAAATTATATTTATTTGAAATGCATTCTTGGTTAGATAAATTACAGTACATAATTATAGAGATAAAACAGTTAATCTTTGTCAAGGATTCTTTTAACATATTTAAAGCGTTTTATTTCTTTACCAGACATTTCTGTTAACAGCCTTATATATTATTTAACTATTTACCACAGTGAAAAATACGATCAATTTTCACTTCAAAAATTACACACTTGTAAGTATTTACCATAGACATAGATTACTATTTATGGAGTCGTTTCCTAATTAGTTATTCCCTTTTAAAAATTTGACTCAATCAAGACTTCAATCAATTGTAATGAATAAATAGACACATAAACATTACACATAGGGTCGTATTTTAGAACTCTACTTAATGCTCAAGTCAGGATTGCACTGGAAACACAAGCACTGGAAATACGACCCTAATGGCAACGACTTGAGTATGATTTTCAGTGCTCACTGCAATACTCAGGTCCTGACTTGAGCATTGAGTAGAGTTCCGGAATACGACCCTCAGACATCCATCCACTAAGCTCCTGACTTAGTTCTTCACATACCACTGCACTGCTAAAGATAAAATTATTCTAAAATTTTCCATAATATAATAACTCATATTTTATTTGAAATAAAATTACAATGAAACAAGTAAATATTAACGTATTTATTTAGGTACTTGTAACGCCATCTAGTATTGAGTAGCAGATCTACAAAGTCCTAGCAACTTCATTGATATAACATAAATAAGCTTCGTCTAACTTTCATTTTATAACTCGTGATTCATGAAGTACTTAAAACGATAATAACAATATTTAAGTTTAATTATGGGCGAACAAGAGAAGAAAATCAACATCCTATGTTTAGGACCAAAAGGTTCTGGGAAAACAACATTACTGAAAAAACTGCAAAACGCAGAAGGTGTTGACTATACATACAGTCCCGTACCGACGATCGGAACCAATATTTACGATATTAATTACTTGAACAAGAATGGGAAGAAGCAGGCTGTGTCCATACGAGAGGTGGGAGGGGAAATGGCGCCTCTTTGGGGAAATTATTTGGTTGGAGTGGAAAAGGTGGGTGGCATTTTCATCAAACGTTTTGATTGAATGTTAACGAGCAATTACAAATATTTCAATTACGTATGTTTAAATGCGTAGGCAAGTTATTACGCAATATATTCTTTACAAACGAATTGTATAATATCAAATTCACTTACTAAGAAATACGTAGGTAGTTTACATTTATTGCATCTAACGGCGTTTTGTTTTCAGATAATTTTCGTAGTGGACACTTCCAATTTATGTCAGATATCTGCAGCAGCCGTTATGCTCTACACGCTTTTAGCCGATCCAAGGCTCGTTAACACGAAAGTAAGTATATTGTTCGTTTAAGAACCAGTGCAAACCGACGGAAGGCAAAAAATATTAAATTCATCAATTTCAATGAAGAGCACGTTAGAGGATACCGCGGTAGCATGCGACGTCCAGTGTGCGCCGGAGTCTGCCTGAATGCGGTAGGGACTTTTCGACTGCGTAGTTGCTAGTGGAACGAAATCAAATTCGAGGGACCGGTAGCATGTTGGCGGATGCCGCAGCACTCCGGTCGCGGTACCAATAAAGGATATTCATCATCAGTGTGCGCTAATGGGCATAAAATTCCTTATATGCTCTCAACCGCCGTCCGCCTGTTCACGCTGGCCCTTATTATTATAATTTCCCAATAAGTTAACATATATATATGTATAGATTATAGAGCCATTACAAAATTCACAAACATTTTGATATAAAAATACTATGAAACAACGTAAAATACATAAAAAGGTTCATACAAAGTCCACCCTAGTACATACAAGTGGATCGTTGGTTAATTTTTTTGGACGTAATCATTTTGTTTATCAAACGAATGACCGAGAAAGTTTTTGTCATTCATTTTCAAGGTTATTTTAAAGGTAGTTCTATTCATGCCTCAAATCAGTGAAAACACAACGACTAATTAGGGCTCTTAGCCTTACACCAACTTTATTGTAATTAAATTACATAGAAAGTGGAATAAATATGACATTTTAATGTTACAATTGTTCCACACGGAACATGAAACTAATGATAATGTAACCGAAAGCATGCAGCATTTTAGGTAGTTCTTGCCTGTTTAATACTGTCTTTTTTCACAGTTATCTAAACCGTATTTTTTTTCTAGTTTATTCTAGTTTTGAGCAAAATGGACGCAGCGTACAGGCAAATGAGGAACGAAGCATTGCTTATGCTGCAGTTTGCCCGCCTCAGCAGCGAGCTGAAGAACGCCCCGGTGTTGCTCGAAGCTAGCCCGCTGCAGGGCGAAGGAATGGACGCCTTGAAAGCCTGCGTCGCCGAGGCCAAACCCAATACTAAGCTGACAATGATGCACCAAGTACAGTAAAGTGTATTTGAACTTTTTTTCACTAAAAATATTCGAATATCCATTTACTTCATGATATTTTCATTGTAAGTGCACTAATTACCATTGCTATTAGCAATTATTACTGTTCACAATCATTGCTATTTTATAACATTAGGCGTTGTTTAAAATTGAATAAATAATTCTCTATCAGTTTAGTTTTTTCATGTTCTTACTATATTATGATTTATATGAAATAAATATTGTAAAAAGTAAACGTGAACAAATGTCTATTCACAAAAAGCAACCCCTTGAGTTTCTTACCCTTTCTTCTCAGAGAATCTGCCTGTTGAACAAGCGATAATGTTTAATCAAAGCAAACTGCTTCATGTGTATCCGCTAAGTCTCACTCCTACGAGTGTAGAATTGAGACAACTAAATGGTTGAAATGAAAAAATTATAATGAAGTTGAAAATCTTCTGCGAGTCTCGGTCTAAGTAATCGCCCACTTACACATGCACCCATGCACATAATTAATTTTTAATTTTAATTAGCCAATATAAAATAAGATCAACACTTAATAAGCAATAACTGTACCGGATTGGAAGTGAACTGGCAATCGGTACTATCTCAATTTTGACAGCTTTACTGGATGAAGAAAAAAATTGTTTGCGTCTTTTTTTTTTTATAGTTATAATAATAACGCACACACTCAAGATAGCCCCGCACTAGGGAAACCCTGTGTCGCGGGTGCCAGGGACACACACATAGACAACCACAAATTACAACCAAACTCACGAGAGAAATAAATGTAAGCCATACAAACATTTCTCCCGACCCGGGAATCGAACCTGGGACCTCTGCGTGGCAGTCCGGCGTGGTAACCGTTCGGCCACGGAGGCAGTTATATATGTATTTTTAATTTTTTTTATTACACATCTATGTATGTACATACACTACGTATTTTTATTTAATAAACCAGATGCTATATGAATGGTTGTCTCTTCACCTGTAAAGTTGTCAAAACTAAGATAGTACTGGTTGCCAGTTCACAGTCGATATGTAACCTAGATTAAGGCAATACATTTTATTTTTATTTATTATTTATCAATGTGATAATTTCGAGGGTAATTTGCTTAACGAACTTATATAAATGTTCTACTTAAAATTGTTCTCTTGTCTTTTTTTTCTTAACAGCAATTACTTAAAGCAATTAACCATTATGTCTAAAATAATACGAGTTAACATTCTAATAAATCATTTTATTTATATTTATCTATATAAGCCAAACAGTCAACAATTGCATACATATTTGTATACTTTAAATACATTATTTATGTACAGAAAAATAATGGTAGCCGTGTCAGGAAGAATCTCTTTTTTAAATACAAGCACCAAAAAATCTAGAAGTGTGCTTTTTGCGAAGTCTTAATTAAGCTTAATTTTACATAAATTCTCTAACATTATAGTCATACAACATATTTAAGTTTTGCATTATTTTCGAAATACAAATAAACAATAATCCCATTCTAAATATTATTTATATTACAATATACTTTACCTTTTTTTACCCTTGAAACAAAATTCAGTTCTTCCTTTCCTCATAGCTTGTCTCTATTTTTAACCATTTTCAAGCATCAGATGGTCAGAGATTGTAGTTATAAGCTAGCGAAGATAAAGGTACACACTTAAGGTGCCCGCTGCATGAAGCAAAGCCCTCGCATGGGATGGGTCACGATAGACTGGCGGTTTTTAGAAACCAAGTTAACGCCCAATTCAAGTTGAAACCGCATAGGGAAGGCGGACTCTTGGATCTTGCCGTAAGACTTCCTCATACAATCTAGATAATTATAGCCACACGTTATTCGAATTATTTGTCTTCTGTTCACAAGGTGATTTGTACGTTTTGTACTATATTGGACCACTCCACTTTGGAAGGTACTAAGTAGAAGGCAGGAGCTACTTTCTGCCCGCACGGGCACTTGCAGCCTGCAACGAGAACAAAATATTGGTTACGTCAAGCAAAATCACACACAGTACAAAACAGTTATTGCTAATGACAACAACAAAAAATTCTAAACCAATGTAAAAGGGTTTTGTGAGTCCGAAACAATTACTGTCCAATAAGGCAATGTCAAGTACGAAGCTTCATTGGCTTCATGCGTTTTTTAATATGGTCGAGTATTACTTATTTGATATTAACTTTTTCGGATAGTTGTCAGTTGGAGAACGGGAGTACAGGGCCTGATTCGAGAATCATGCGAACATGTAGCCCTCGCTGTGATTTTGGCATAACCCATCGTGGATTAGAATACAACAATAGTATATTTTTTATCAAGTGACTAAAACGAGCCAATATGTACCCGAGGTGGTTAGACACCCGAGTTTTAGCGTTGATAAAAAATATATTAAAAATATTTCAATTGTTTTCGCTCTAAAACAAAATTGCGAACCAAAATTATAAAGTTTTCGCGGTTTTTTTTTCCAACCAGACACAGATATAACAAACGCACTAACGCGTAAAATAATATGGCGCCACCGTCTATGCGCAAAAGACACCGAAGTAAAACCGAGCGCACTACTGGCTGTTTGAATTTGTTCACTCGAAGTAAATTAAAAAACTAAGTACTTTTTACTCCCTAGGGATTAAAGGATGCACTGTTTCCGTGGACGAACGGTTACCATGCTGGACTGTCGAACAAGAGGTCCCGGGTTTGATTCCCGTGTCGGGAGAAATATTTGTTTTAATTTAATTAATATTAAGTAATTTGTGGTTGTCTATGTGTGTATCTATGGCACTCGCGACACAGAGTTTTTCTAGTGCGGGGCTTATTATTATTACTCCCGCTACGTAAGGCTATAAGGACGTAGTTTTAGAGTATGAGAAGTGAAAACGTCTATACGAATCCATATGCAATGCAATACGCAAACTAGTGAAGTAATTTCACAATAAATAATTGAATATCAATCCAATACAAATTGAATATATTCGAACATTGACCTACCAACAAATGGACGTCGGGTCTAATACAAAAACCACGAAAAAAATGTCCCAAGTCAACCTATACAAACGTAGTGACACGTAACGAAATATAAAAAATTAAAACATTTAATTTAAATTGTAACGTCATTGCAGTACTGCCTAATTTTGCTTGCAACAATTTTAGGGCCCAAAAACACCATATTCAGCTTCTATAGGAAATTTAACAAAATGCACCATATTTAG